GGGCCGGTCGACCGCGAGTATTTTTGGCAGTTTCTTGTTCCTTTTGGGATTCTGTTTCAACCAGGATTTTATATATACCCCAAACGATTTTAGGGTTTGTAACAACATCAAAAAGAGAGCTTTTTGACTGCAAAGAGAGAGAGAGAGAATCTCAGAGAGATTAATCCCTTGTTTGAGAGCTTGTATTTTCTTCTTCAATTAATAAAGAGATTGTGTGGTGTGGCTCCCGAGGACGTAGGCACGTTGCCGAACCTCGTTAAATCTGTGTGTTCATCTCCTTTACTGTTTTTTGCAAGTTAGATCTTTATTTATGGTTTTATTCCTACTTTCCTACTTTCAACACAAGGTCCTAAAGGGCAAGGGTTCGATTGATTGTTTCGAATCCCCAACAACTGGTATCAGAGCTTCGTTCAGCAATTTGTGTGAAAGCCATGGCAGAGAAAAGCAAATCAAAGATCAAGAAGTTTGACGGTTCAGACTTCGCCTACTGGAAGTCACAGATGGAGGACTATCTGTACCAGAAGGACTTGTATTGCCCGTTGATGGGCAAGGAAAAGGGAAAGAAGAAAGATGAGTCAGATGGTGATTGAGAGGTACTGGATAGGAAGGCTCTAGGAAAAATCCGGTTGTCGCTCGCCAAATCAGTAGCCCACAATATTCTGAAGGAGCAGACGACGGTGGGGCTTATGGAAGCGCTCGCGAAGATGTACGAGCAACCGTCGGCAGCAAACAAGGTGCATCTAGTCAAAACTCTTTTCAACCTCAAGATGGCAGAAGGACGGTCCTTCACGATGCATCTTAGCGAGTTCAACACGATTGTTGATCAACTTATCTCCGTGGACATCACGTTCGATGACGAAGTGCAGGCCCTTCTACTACTATCGCAGTTGCCGGATAGTTGGGCAGGTTGTGTGACAGCAATCAGCAATTCAGCGGGGAAAGAGAAGTTGAAACTGAATGAGGTTGTTAGCATGATTCTATCCGAGGAGGTTAGAAGGAAATCGTCTGAATCAGAAGGTTCAGGTTCAGCCCTAAGTTTCGAGCAGAGAGGCAGAAGCCAGAAGAAAGGGAACCAGAATAGGAATCGGTCGAAATCAGTGAAGAAGAGGCCGAACTCGAAGGTTAGGTCCATCAAAGGGAAGTGTTGGAACTACGGTCAGGAGGGCCATATGTCTTCGGTCTGTAAAGCACCAAAGAAGGATGCGGGTGAGCAGGAGGCTCATATCGTGCAGGATGCCTTGATCCTTGCTATGGATAGCGATTCTGATTCTTGGGTCATCGACTCAGGAGCTTCTTTCCACGCCACTGCTAATAGGAAACTACTTCAGAACTATGTAGTAGGGGACTTTGGTAAAGTATATTTGGGGGATAATGAACCTTGCAATATTATTAGAAAGGGCGACGTTCAGATACAGATGAAGGGCTCTAAGTGGAATTTGAAGAACGTGAGACACGTGCCGAAGCTGAAGAGGAATCTTGTTTCGGTGGGACAGCTTGGAGCAGAAGGCTACGTTTCGACATTCACCGGGAATTCGTGGAGAATCTCCAACGGTACTATGGTTGTTGCCCGAGGTAATAAAACAGGAACTCTCTACCTTACTTCACATGCGAGTGACACCCTCGCAATTGCAGCTGGCAAGGAGAGTACAGATCTGTGGCACAACATGCTGGGACACATGAGTGAGAAGGGGATGAAAATTCTACATTCACAAGGAAAGCTAACCGGGATCGACGTCGTGGAAGTCGGAGTTTGTGAAGACTGCATCTTTGGGAAGCAGAAGATGGTTAGTTTCCAGAAGGGTGGAAGGCCACCTAAGGCTCAGATGCTAGAGTTGATTCATACAGATGTATGGGGCCCATCCAGTGTGTCTTCTTTTGGCGGTTCGAGATACTACGTCACCTTTATCGACGATCACTCGAGGAAGGTGTGGGTTTACTTCATGAAGCACAAGTCAGAGGTGTTCAAAATCTTCAAGAAGTGGAAGGCCATGGTCGAGAACGAGACAGATCTGAAGGTGAAGTGCTTAAGATCAGATAATGGTGGAGAATACGAGCTGGAGGAGTTCAAGAGGTTCTGTGCTACGAATGAGATTCGCTTAGAGAGGACTACTCCAGGGACGCCGCAACAGAACGACATTGCAGAGAGGATGAACAGGACCTTGACAGAGCGTGCGCGGAGCATGCGACTACATGTAGGTCTGCCTAAGACATTTTGGGCGGATGTGGTGCATACGGCAGCCTACCTGATTAATCACAGGCCATCAGTTCTATTAGATTTTGGGATTCCAGAGGAGGTTTGGAGTGGAAAGAAGATAAATCTCTCACACTTACGGGTATTTGGTTGCGTGGCTTATGTTCATATCAGTGACCATGTCAGGGACAAGCTAGAAGCTAAGTCACAGAAGTGCACATTCATTGGATACGACATTGATGAGTTCGGGTATCGCCTTTGGGATGAAAAGAACAGGAAGATCATCAGGAGCCGGGATGTGATATTCAATGAGGAGGTGATGTACAAGGACAGAGACAATACCAAGGATAGCCAAAGCAGTGGGAGCAGCACTACGGATACAGGTGGATCCGAGTATATGGATTTGGAGGAACTTCCAGATGGGGGTGACGATGTCAGTTCTGACCGTAGAACGGAGGAGACTACAGGTGCAGAAGCTACTACCCAGGGCGTGGAGCTTAGGAGGTCATCCAGGGAGGAGATTGATTCTCTACTCACTAATGAGACATGAAAGTTAGCCCAGCTACCTGCACAGAAAAAAGCATTGCACAATAAATGGGTCTACCGGGTCAAGCAGGAGAGTGATGGATGCAAGAGATTCAAGGCCAGATTAGTCGTGAAGGGGTTTCAACGGCGGGAAGGAGTTGACTACACGAAGATATTTTCCCCTGTTGTGAAACTCACAACCATCAGAGTGGTGTTGAGTTTGGTAGCTGCAGAAGACCTCTTCCTTGAGCAGTTAGATGTGAAGACTGCCTTTCTTCATGGTGACTTGGATGAAGAAATCTACATAAAGCAGCCTGTTGGTTTCGTTGAAGAAGGAAAGGAAGAGATGGTGTGCAAGCTCAAGAAGAGCTTATATGGTTTGAAACAGACTCCGAGACAGTGGTATAAGAAGTTTGATAATTTCATGCAGAACAATGACTATAGAAGATGCAATTCAGATCATTGCTGTTATTTCAAAAGGTTCGAGTCCAGCTTCATTATTTTGTTATTATATGTTGATGACATGTTGGTAGTAGGACCATGTTTAGAAGAGATAAACAGTTTAAAGAGGCAGCTAGCAAAGGAATTTGCAATGAAGGATCTGGGTGCAGCGAAGCAGATTCTAGGGATGCGAATCAGTAGGGATGAAGCTGAAGGGACATTGAGATTGAGCCAAGCTGAATACATTGAGACGGTACTTCAGAGGTTCAACATGTAGAATGCTAAAGTTGTTAGCACACCCATTGGAAGTCAGTTCAAGCTATCTGAGGAACAATCGCCTAAGACAGATGCAGATAGAGAGCATATGAGCAGGGTGTCATATTCTTCGGCCATTGGGAGTCTCATGTACGCGATGGTTTACACAAGACCGGACATCGCCCATGCAGTGGGAGTTGTGAGCAGATTTGCAAGCAATCCAGGGAAGCAGCATTGGGAGACCATGAAGTGGATAATGCGGTACTTGAGAGGGACAACTAACAAGCCACTATGTTTCAGGAGGAAGGAGTTGGTGCTGCAGGGATACGTGGATGCGGACTTCGCCGGTGATCATGATACGAGGCGAAGCACCACGGGGTATGTTTATACCTTAGCGTCGACACCAGTGAGCTGGGTCTCATGTCTGCAGAAGATTGTGACTTTATCAACAACCGATGTTGAGTATGTCGCGGTGACTGAAGCAAGCAAGGAGATGATCTGGTTGAACGGGTGCTTGGAAGAGTTGTATCTGAAGCAAGGGAGAGGAGTTCTTTATTGTGATAGCCAGAGCACTATACATCTTGCCAAGAATCCAGTATATCATGCCAGAACGAAGCACATCGACGTCAAATACCATTTTATACGCTCGCTGATCGAGGACGGAAAGTTACATTTAATGAAGATTTTAGGGAGTCAAAATCCGGCGGACATGTTGACGAAGGCAGTCACCATTGAGAAACTGGAGTTGTGCGCAACTTCAGTTGGCCTTCACGAGTAGAAGACGAAGGCGGAGCCACACTACGAGGATCGACGAGATCGCCGGGATATTGTTGATTGAAAGAAGAATTTTTTCGGGAAAAGATACATGCGAAGAAGGGGAGAGTTCGGGGGAACTCATTGCAGACACTTTGGTCTCCAAGTGGGAGATTGTTAGTCTAAGGTGTAGACCCAAAGTTCGAGACAAGAGCTGAAATCAAAAGGACAAGAAAACGAGCAGACAGATCCACGGTCGACCGGGTCGGGCGACCGCGAACGTGCACAGGAGACTGGGAGGGCCTGGATCAGGTCGCGGTCGACCGCCAAAACCCTGTAAGTATTTTGGTCTCGGGTTTTGATTACGGTC